CTCGAACCCCTTGTTATGGGTCGGACCTCTTAGCTGATGATGACGACCATATGCCCAAGAAGTCGCTCGAGGAGTACGCCGACTGTGCTCTCATTTAGGGCATAGTTGATAAATATGAGAAGGAGGTCGATATAAACGAAGGAGTTCGGACTCTAGAGCTCCTTACACTAAAGGTAAGTTTTTAATATGAATGCTCGTGTAGCCCTGATCGGTTTCGTAATTTGTACTAACGTCAGGCTTTATACATGTTTTTGCAGACACTAAGCGTCGCTCGGGGTCTTGGGCTCAAGGGTTTGAATTCTTCAGATCGCATAGCCGAGCTCGAAGTCAAGAGCGAGGTTGCGTTCAAGAGGGCCAAGGAGCTTGAAAAGGCCCTGGAGACGGTCAAGATGGACCTCAAGAAGGCGGAGGACGAGGTCAAGTTTGCAAAGGGCGAAGAAGAGGAGGCAAAGCTCGAGCTTATTCACTCGCGAAGCTCTTTTGAGGCGGAGCTTGCGAAGGTTCGAGCTGAAACCCGAGCTCAGGCCATCGATGACTTCAAGAAGTCTGATGAGTTCAAGACTCTCCTGGGTCAGTACGGGTCTGGTTCGTACTACTATAGGTTGCGGCTAGCTCGGTCATTCCTTAGGACGAAGCTCCCCGAGGATTTGAAGCCTATAGTGGAGGAGTTAAAGACTGTGAACGAGCTCGCTAAGGACCTCGAGCTATCCTCCTCCGAGGGTGATGGGGACGATGATGATAACGATGTTGGAACCCCCAATAATGGAGGGAGAAGTGACCACATCGACCTAGACTAGATCCTTTCCTGACCCCGAGTCTGACATTTTTGTAATTTTTCTTTTACTAATGTTGTCTGCCCGATCTGGGCTTATGTACTTACTTTGATTTTGAATATATGCAAGTTTATTGCCCGAACTGGGCCTCTATCTTTCAGAGGGAATTTTATCTGTTCATGCATTTTATTATTCCTACGAGATCGTGCGTTGATCCTGTACTGTAATTTTGAATTCGAGTTTACATTATAGTTTAGAGTTCGGTTGGTAGTGAATGTGTCCTAATCTTTAAACTTATAGCTCGTGCGTGGAGTATTTCGGGTGTCTTTTTTTATCGTCGAACTATGAACAGATTGATCCTTTAAAACAATAATGGTCGTTGGGCGTCAATTTTCGAGTTCAGTGGTATACCTTTGGGAAAAATTAGATCGCGCACTAGTGTTGAACCCTTGTCCATATCGAGGGTTGACCCCAACATCTAAGTTCGGTGGGGTATCATTGGGGGAACCAGATCGTGCACTAGTGTTGAATTCTTGTTCATATCAAGGGTTGATCCCAACATCCCAGTTTGGTAGTGTATCGTTGGGGACAACTATAATAAATGACCCGACCTCGATCTTAAAATTCATGCATCGTCAAGCATTCTGGGATCTTCAAGGTCGGGGATAGCTGTAAGCGCGCAACTGCATCATGACTCGACCTCGATCTGACGATTATTTCGTTTCACGTCATTCTGGGATCGATAAGGTCGGGCTTATATGCTCGACCCATAATAGCTTGAGGCCGCATGTGGGATTGGTAAATGTATTAGTTGCATGCGCGGGGCACGGCCTTACGCCAATTTAGTAAAAGTTATTGGCTGCATGAACGGGGCACGGCCTTACGCCAATTTAAGTAAAGGTATTGGCTGCATGCGCGGGGCACGGCCTTACGCCAATTTAAGTAAATGTATTAGCTGCATGCGCGGGGCACGGCCTTACGCCAATTTAAGTAAAGGTATTAGCTGCATGCGAGGGGCACGGCCTTACGCCAATTTAAGTAAAGGTATTAGCTGCATGCGCGGGGCATGGCCTTATGCCAATTTAAGCAAAGGTATTAGCTGCATGCGCGGGGCACGGCCTTACGCCAATTTAATAGGGTGTCAATATCATAAAGAAAACTTCTTATGTGTTATTAAAAAAGGCTCAAGGGCATTGCATACCCGAGCTTATTTGAGCATGAGCTAATGGGGCATTAGAGCCCGAAAAGAAAAAACGAAATTAAGAAAACATGAAGCGGGCATGCAAGCCCTAAAGGAAAATTATAGCTATAGCTAATCACTTGTAATATATTTTCAGATTGTTGGCGTTCCATGGCCTTGGGAGTGGATTCCCCGATGTATCTCTGAGGCTATAGGCTCCATCTTTAAGTTTTCTTATGACCTCGTAGGGTCCCTCCCATGTCGGCCCAAGTTTCCCTGGTTCGTGCCCGACGGCTTCTGCTTTCCTTAGGATAAGATCGCCGCTCTAAATCTCCTGCTCTTGACCTTCTTGTTGAAGTGGTTTGCCGTTCTATTTTGGTAACTTGCAGTCCTAAGGGAAGCTTGCTCCCTTACCTCTTCAAGTAAGTTGAGATGCTCGGTAGTTTGTGTCTCCTTATTTGTCTCGAGCTTTCTTATTGTGGAGAGGCTAGCCTCAATTGGAATGGTAGCCTCAAGTCCAAAAGCAAGCATGAATGGCGTTTCACCAGTTGCTGTCTTATGTGACGTCCTATATGCCCATAGTATCGAAGGCAGCATGTCAGGCCAGTCACGTTTGGCGTCCCCTATCCTTGTTCGGAGGTCTTGCAATATAATCCGATTAGTTACTTCGGCTAACCCATTACTTTGTGGGTGTGAGACCGAGGTCAGGCAATGATCAATCCCATTGCTGGCGCAGAAGTTCTTGAACTAGGGATTGTCGAATTGCCTTCCATTATCTGTGATGAGGACTTTTGGTATCCCGAATCTGCATATGATGGACTTCCATATAAATGATCTGAGCTTCGGTTCTGAAATTGTTGCTAGAGGTTCGGCTTCTACCCACTTTGTAAAATACTCCACTGCCACAGCTACAAATTTTAATTGTCCTCGGGCCAAAGGAAAAGGCCCAAGAATATCAACTCCCCATTGCTTGAAGGGAGCTGAGTAGTGAATGGATGTCAGTTCCTCAGCAGGAGTATGTATGATGTTGCCAAACTTTTGGCACTTGTCGCACTTCCGAACATAATCTGTGGCATCTTTCTTCAGACTTGGCCAGTAGTATCCATACCTTATCAACTTATGTGCAAGAGCTCGGGCTCCTTGGTGATTTCCACAAATGCCTTCGTGAATTTCAGTCATTACTTGAAGGGACTCGGAGGGTCTGAGACACCTTAGATAAGGGAGTGTAAGACTTCTGCAGAACAGGACTCCTTCGATTATGCAATATCTAGCAACTCTATACCGAATGCTTCGGGCGAGCCGAGGGTCTGTAGGAATGTTGCCATTACTTATGTAATCAACTATTGGATCCATCCAGGAGGGCTCATGGTCGATGTCCATGATACTTGCTTCTGGGCTATACTTGGTTCTGCAACCATCTTGATGTGCACGGTTCTATCGAGCCCGTCAATACCCATGAAGACGAGTCTGGATAATGCATCGGCTTTGGCATTTTCGGCTCTGGCTACCTTCAGAATTTCACAACTTACGAGCTGCCTCTGGAGGTCATGTACTTTCAAACAATATAAGCTCATTTTTTCATCCTTTCTTTCGAAAGACCCTTCGATTTGCCCGACCACTAGCTGTGAGTCACTAAAAACTCTGACGTGCTCGTACTCAAGATTTTTCGCGAGTTCTAGGGCTATAACAATGGCTTCGTACTCTGCTTCGTTATTGGTAGCCTGGAATTCAAATCTGAGAGCGCATTGTATCTCCGTAATCTTGTCCGGACTTGTGATAATAATGCCGGCCCCCAAGCCCAAGCTATTGGATGCTCCGTCAACAAAAATTTCCCATATTCTTGAGGTCGAGTTCGGGCTCCCGACTGGTGTTTCTGAGGATCTCAGAGTAAGCTCTGCTATGAAGTCGGCTAAAGCTTGGGCCTTGATTACAGGTCGTGGCTTGAATTCTTTGTCAAATTCGCCAAGTTCAATTGCCCATTTCAACAGTCTTCCTGAGACGTCTGGCTTCTGAAGTATATGTCTGAGAGGTTGGTTGGTGAGCACAACAATTGGATGTGACTGGAAGTATGACCGTAATTTTCTAGCAGCCATTACTAAAGCCAGGAAGAGCTGTTCCGCAAGTATATATCGTGTTTTTGCATCGAGGAGCACTTTACTTACATAGTAGATAGGTTGCTGAACTCTTCCTTTTTCCTTTACCAAGACACCACTTACTGCGTTCTGAGAAACGACCAAGTATAATAGCAGCGTGTCACCGGGTTCAGGTTTAGTAAGGACTGGAGGCGTTGATAATGTCTGTTTAAGCTCCTGAAAAGCTAAGTTGCATTCCTCGTTCCAGTCGAACCCTTTATTTCCCCTAAGTAGTTTGAAAAAGGGGAAGCACCTGTCAGCTGCCCGGTAAACAAACCTGTTTAGTGCTGCTATGCGACCCGTCAACTTCTGAATGTCCCTTTTGCATTTAGGGGCCTCCATATTTATCAGAGCTTGGATTTTATCAGGATTTGCCTCTATTCCTCTGTGCGTGATCATAAAACCCAAGAATTTTCCAGATGCCACCCCAAATGCACATTTTGCCGAGTTGAGCTTCATGTTGTACCTCCGTAACGTAGCAAACACTTCCTCTAGATCAGAAACATGGCTATTCAACTGTTTGCTCTTGACCACCATATCATCCACATACGCTTCGACTGTTTTCCCAATTAGCTTGGCGAAGATCTTGTTCACTAACCTTTGATATGTTGCTCCAGCATTCTTCAGACCAAAGGGCATGACCCTGTAGCAGTAGATGGCTGAATTTGCCATGAACGAGATCTTCTCTTGATCTTCTTCTGCCATGAGAATTTGGTGATACCCTGAGAAAGCATCCAAGAAGCTGTACAGCATATGACCTAATGTGCTATCTACGAGATTGTCAATTCTAGACAGGGGATAACTGTCTTTGGGGCATGCTTTATTCAGATCTGTGAAGTCAATGCAAACTCACCACTTTCCGTTAGCTTTCTTGACAAGAACCACATTGACAAGCCATTCGGGATATTGTACCTCTCAAACGAACTGTGCATTAAGGAGTTTGGTAATCTCCTCTTTTATGACTTCTCGTCGTTTCGGTGCAAACTGCCTCTTCCTTTGCTTCATAGGTTTTACTTCCGGGTTCACGTTAAGTCTATGTACTGCAACCTCTGGATCAATTCCAGGCATGTCCTCAACATTCCAAGCGAATACATCAATGTTCCGGGAGAGACAACTTAGAAGCTCAGCCATGACCTCTGTATCTAACCCCCAACCAACTGTCACTTTTCTTCCAGGCTCAATCTCGACCTCCTCCAATCCTTCTATCGGAGCCAGCCTTCCGTAATTTTCGTGCTCGAGCTCGAGCTCTGTAACTTGTATGACGTTATTTTTGATTTTTCGAACGCTAGTCACATAACACTGTCGGGCCACCGTTTGGTTGCCTCAAACTACCCCAATACCATTAGAAATAGGGAATTTCATAGCCAGGTGAAAAGTTGAGACAATAGCTCGAATTCTGTTGAGCATTGGTCTTCCCAATATGGTGTTGTAAGCCATTGGTATACGGACGACTTCAAAGGTAGTGATTTGCGTCACCTGTTTACCTTCGGCTCCGGCTCCCAATGTTAAGGGTAACCCGACGATACCTTCCGGGGTGATGACCCCACCTCCAAACCCTTGGAGGGGTGTTTTCACTGGCTTTAGTTGTTCTGACGAGATCCCTATTTGAACAAAAGCTTCGTGAGACAGCACGTTTGCTGCACTTCCGTTATCTACCAGAATTCTCTTGACTTCAAAGTTGGCGATGATGGCCGATATGACAAGGGCATCATCATGGGGGAATGCTATGCCTTCCAAGTCATCCATTCCAAAACTGATGTCCTCTGTACGACCAAGATCTGGTCTTGAGATGATTGGTGGCTGCCTAGCATACTGTTTTCGCCCACTGCTAGAGTCCCCTCCCGAGGCTATTCCTCCGACAATGATATTGATAGTGCATGCAGTTGGTTGCTTGTTTTCCCGATCCTCTGGGCCTTTCCCCCCGTTTTGGTTATTCCTCAGGCATTTGCCATTGTTAATGTAAGAGCTCAGAAATCCCCTTCTTATAAGAGATTCGATTTCCCGCTTTAAGGCCAGACAGTCTTCTGTTGTATGGCAGTGATCTCTATGGAAATCACAGTATTCACTCTTGTCACGAGTATCGGGGGGAGGTCGTAATCGGGGAGGCTATTTCAGTTCCCTAGAGTCCTTGATTTCCATCAAGATGTTGGACCTCGAAGTGTTCAGATGGGTAAAAGTCATTGAAGGTGGATCCTTTCTTGGTTTGACCCTAGGTGTCTTTTATCTTAAGCTGGACTCATGTGGCCTTTTCTGATCCAACCTCCCTGATGAGGTAACTTCCCTTTTTGGGGCCATGGTTTCTTCCATATTGATGTATTTCTCAGCCCGTGTGAGTAGCTCGGTTACTGACTTCGACAGGGTTTTAGACAAGGACATTTTGAACGCTTCGCACTTAATGGCGTAAGTCAGAGCTGAGACTGCAGCTGTGATATGTAGATCGGGGATCTGCATGAGCGATGCGGCTGTCTTTCTGATTCGTTTGCTACTCGCAAAGAAAGCGGAGAACTTATCAGCCAAATCTGAGAAGGAGGTGATGGAGTTCGGTTCCAATGTGGAAAACCAATCTCTAGCCGCATTCGTGAGGGTTTGGGGGAATGCCTTGCACATTACCGCATCTGGTGCAACCTGTAAATTCATGATATCCGTGTATACATTGAGATGATTGATGGGGTCGGTTGTTCCGTCATACTCCTTTATCCGAGGATACTTGAACCTATCGAGAAGGGGATACGAGAGGACTTCTGGAGTGAATGGAGTATTAGGGGTGAACTTTATTGCTGCCCGAGTATTTTGTTGCATACCCGCTGCTATCCCTTCTTGAATAATTCTTGCCAGTTCGACGGAGTCTATTGTAACGGACCTTGTACCTGATGCAACTTGTGGTACCCCTGAGGTTCCAACCCCACCGTCATCATGGGCTGCATGATGAACTCGAGTCCGGGCATCTGCCATAAAGCCACCTTCAGGTGTTGGGGTGTGTGATGGATGCGAATTTCTCTGACTTAGCAGTTGGGTTAATGCAACCACCTGCTGGCGAAGTTCCTCAAAAGCTCCGGTGGAAACAACAGCTTGAGGAGGTGCTGGCATCTCCGACAACTCTTCTTGAGGAATATGGTGTTCCTCAGGAGGTGGAGGGTTATCTGGGACGGATGAGTTTGCTGGAGGAAGACCTGAACGTGTATTGACTATGGCTTTTGGTAGCGAAGTTCACATAGACGGTGCCAATGATGCTACCAAAAAATATCACCTGAAGATCTCGAGTTTGATGATTAGGATGGAACACGAACTGCGCCTTCCAGTACCTGAAACAAAGGCAACGAGGTGTGTGCTCGTCGCCCCTCCGATACTTAAGTCAGATAGGGAATTTTATGCGTGAGGCTATAAACTGAGGATAATAATGGAGAACGTATCTTTGGAATGAGCACAGGTTGTGTATTTATAGTTGTCAGTGGTGGAGTCCTAGGAAGACTGATTTTGCCACAGTCCTTCTCCTCGTAGGAAAAGGAGTTGGTGTTTAACCTCAAGTATTCAAATCACTGTTTGAGTCAAAAAAAGGAGTCTAACAAGGTAGGGATTGTGTTCGAGGTAGGATTAGTGCTTCCATAGGTCACATATGAAGGTTGACGAGTCAACACACACCCCCGACCTTAAATGCCCGAGCTTGTTTTGGTGTTTTTAGAGGGTGCATAGGTCGGGGTTGTAGGGTGTGATCGGGGTCAAGTGGTCAAGTTCGAGACTAAAGAGATCTAGAATCATCAAGTACCATAATGTTATGGAGGGTAAAGATGAAACCGAAAAGTTTGGTGATAGTGAATTGGATAATATAGAAGAGATGAATGATCGAGATGATTCGGATTACTCTGATGAAGATGATGGAATTGTTTGCCAAGAAGTATGGTCAGAGTTAGTTATAACTACATCCATGGAGTCAAGGATAGAATATCTTTCAGCTCATGTTATCAACGAGGAAGTAAAGAGTCCTTTGATAAGGATTGGACAGCCCAAGAGGTAAGTGGAGACGTCTGGACCAAAAGCAAATTCAAGAGATAGAAGTGACCATGTCATTTCCGTGCTGAGCCTTTGAAGCCACGAAAAGAGAATTTGATTGCTGACCCTGAAGCACCCCACATTTCTTTTAGAAGTTTAGAATCTTCACATGGTCTGAAGCCAAAATTAGATCAGTCGAAGAATGCAAACAAAGAGATAGCCGTTGATTCTAGTCATTCGAGCTGGTTGGTTACCCCTGATATCGCTCCTGCAAAGAAGAATAGTTATAGTGGTCTTGAGAGTCTAAGACCACTACGTCTGAAAAGAACAGACCACAAGGGTCGACCAATTCTAGGTACATTGACAGTCGGTTGCTGAAATAGACGTTGGCGTCGAAACCCTGATGAGATGCCAATTGTAAGTACAGTCCAGACCTATTGGAATAATTCAGGTACAGCTAAGCATTCTGACTCGGCCTATTCTTATAAAGGCATACAGAATGCAAGCAGCAAGTTTAGAGAGGTATTCTTGAAGTCAGAATCTGTCAATTAATAGCACATTGATAATGTTTTGTACTAAGTATCCGTAATCAAATGTGCAGGACAAAAAATTGAATTGGCATACAATGATGGTCCCAGCCAAAGCTTGCAAAATATCTCTATTTTGGGTAAGAGTAAACCACAGTAATTCTGGAAATAATTGCTTGATACTTTTATTCATGCGGGCAACTCTTTATATATAGGCCTTACATCAACAAAAATGTAGTAACTTAAGCCACAATAACAGGAAACAAATAACAAATATAGTATTTAATCCTATCTCTAATCCTAACGTGCTAACAGAGTTGCAATTGACTTGTTCTGGGTCTTTACGTGGCTGCATGCATGTCTTCACGTGGCTGCATGCATGCATTTTATCCTTGTACACTCCCAAAATACTTGGGATTCTTCTGGGCTTGCCTGCGTGACCTTCGTGGCTCATCAACACCCTGTGGACTGTTGTCCTCAAGGTCCATTGAAGGGAACTGCTGCTTCAAGTCTTCGGTCTTCTCCCAGGTTGCGTCTTCCTTTGGTAATCGGCGCCACTGTACTAGACTCTCTTCCACGAACGTAGCACCTTGCTTAACCCAACGTGTATCTAGTATTCGTGCCGGCTTCGGGATAATTGCACCTTCTTCCGTGATCGTTGGCAAGTCTGAATCTGCGTTGGAGTGGTCACCGAGAGACTTCTTTAATAAGGAGACATGGAACACGGGATGGATACGTGCCCCTTCCGGTAATTTGAGCTTGTAAGCAACCTTATCAATTCTTTGTATGATCGGGTAAGGTCCATAGAACTTGCTGGCCAATTTCTGGATAGCTCGGTTGAAGGCTGAATGCTGGCGGTATGGTTGGAGTTTTAAATAGACCATATGACCTTCACTAAATTCGACGTCCCTGTGTTTCTTGTTGGCCACCTGCTTCATTTGATTGGTTGATGCGCTTAAGTTGCTCTTCAGCTATTGTAGTAATTCATCCCGAGTGAGAAGCTGCTTATCAACTTCATGCACAGGAGAGAGCCCCGCTTTATAGTACGGGATGTTTGGTGGTGGCACCCATATAAAGCTTGAAATGGGGACATACATATAGAGCTATGGAAGGTTGTGTTATACCATAATTCGGCCCATGAGAGGAACTCGGTCCATTTCTTCGGCCACTGGTATACAAAACTACGAAGGTACTGCTCCAGTCAGCGATTGACCACTTCGGACTCTTCATCTGTCTGTGGATGATAGGCCGAGATGAGCTTAAGCTTTGTCCCTGACATGGCAAAGAATTCTTGCCAAAATTTGCTGACAAATATTGGGTCTCAGTCGCTGATTATGGACATGGGCATACCGTGCAATTTAACCATATTTTCCACAAATTTCTCAACTAAAATTTTAGCAGTAAAGGGGTGTGTGAGTGTCATGAAGTGGGCATACTTACTAAGTCGGTCAACAAACACCAAAATGGTATCTCTCCCGTGAGATGTTGACAAGCTTTCGATGAAGTCAAGAGTTATATCATCCCAGACTTAGCATGGAATTGGTAGAGGTTGAAGAAGACCGGCTGGTGTAAGGGCTTGTGTCTTGGTCTTTTGACAAATGGCGCATTCAGATACAAAAGTGTGTACTGACTTGAACATTTTTGGCCAGTAAAATTGCTGGGCTAGTCGCTTGTAGGTCCGCAATACCCCGGAATGGCCTGCCGATTTGCTGTTGTGAAATTTCTTTAATAATTTGTTGCGGATTGTGGGCTCTTGAGGTACCACTACTCGATTTTTATAGAGGACCAGGCCATTGCGCCATTTATATGGACCCTCAGTCTTGCCTTTAGCTATCTGACGCACTTGGTTGATATAGTTATCTTCCTCTGAAGCCTTTTAATTTCTTTCCATAAATCAACCTGACTCAAAAATAGATGGTTAAGAGTTGAGCTGCCTGGTTTGCGATAGAGAGCATCTACGGCAGAGTTCTCACGATTGGGCTTGTAAAGAATCTCGTAGTCATAGCCCATCAGCTTGACCACCCATTTTTGTTGTTGAGGGCAGAATATATCATTCATAATAGCTTGGAAAGTAGAAGGGCCATTACACAGGCCGAATGGCATAACCAAATATTCATAATGTCCATTATGAGTACAGAACGCAGTTTTGTGAACATCAAGTGGATTAACTCTTACTTGGTGATATCCAGGTCGCAAGTCCAGCTTAGTAAAATAAGTAGCACCGTAGAGTTCATCCAACATGTCGTCGACTGTGGGGATAGCAAAGCGGTCCTTGATAGTGACGGTATTGAGTACTCGGTAATCAGTGCAAAAACGTTAATTTCCATCTTTTTTCTTCAATAGAAGCACTGGCGAGGAGAATGGCTGATGCTTGGCCGGATAAGCCCTGAATTCAGCATTTCGTGGACTTGTTTCTTTATTTCGGCCTTCTGAAAATGAGCATATCGGTACGGTCTTACATTAATTGGCTCGGTTCCTTCTTTCAGTCTAATGCAATGATCGACTTCGCAAACAAGCGGCAAGCTGGATGGCTCATTAAACACGTCTTGATATTTATTCAACAATCTTTGCATGTCTTGCTGCTCAGCCCAGTGTGACACGTCTTTGACCGGTAACTCTGTGCTGACTTGAAGACATACGGCGAACAATTTTTGGCCCTGGTGAATTTCCTTTGAAATTTCTTGCAGTGACACCTCCTGAATAGCTCGGACCTCCATTCCCTGTAGCCTTCTTGCTTGATTTCCCTAGGTAAAATCCATTGTAAGTTGCTTCCAGTTACAAACTACCAAACCCAGCATCTCAAGCCATTGAATTCCCAGTACAAGGTCAAGGCCTGATAATGGTAGAGAAAAAAGAGTAAGGTAAAACTCTACTCCTTGTAACTCAACCCGTACCTTATCGAAGCGCCCTTGACAATTTAGCCGTTCCCTGTTGGCCACGCGCACAGTAAAAGCTTCCGTTGGTACCACCGGCATTTTGAGCACATTGGCCAAGCGGTCTCTAATGAAATTATGTGTCGACCCACTGTCAATTAACACGGCTCCCTCATGAGGACCAATCTTGGCCATCATCCTCATGGTTTGAGGTACTGACCCTGACCCTCCCGCCAACGCATGAAGTGTGATCTCTAGCTCTCTCTCCTGTCCCGGGTACTCGCCTAGCTCGTCGTGTTGTTGGTTTGTGATGTTTTTGTAGACCTCTTGGTTGGAGTCGGTGTGCCCCTCTAACAGCGATAATTGTGGTCGTTGACAACGGTGCCTCGCCGTGAAGCGTTCAAGCATAGGCCCTGTGCTTGGCGTCTCTTCATTTCATCCCAGGTGAGTCTTTTAATCGGTGCAGCAGGTAGATTAGGTGTCACACGAGCTGGTGGAGCTGGAAAAGCCTTCACCAGTAGTTGAGGTCGTATGAACTTTCGCTGCTTCATGAGTTGGTCGTCTCGCATCCGGGCCAAACAGATGGCGTCCTTTAGGGTCCTTGGTTTAAACATTCGAATTCCTTCAGCTATGTCAGGTTTGAGCCCCCCCCCCCCCCCCCCCCCCCCCCCCCCCCCCCCCCCCCCCCACCCCCCCCCC